CATACCTGCCGCTGACAGTCTTCTCTGGCCAGGACTCCTCGCCCTGTGTTGAGAGACCTGGAACACAGCTGGGCACAGCAAAGGACACCTGTCACTGCTGTCCTGGGACCACTGGGCCATGGGGTTATCAAGGGTGAGTGGAAAGGGGGGCAAGGATGGCGGGAATCTGGGGGGATTTCTCAAGCTCCGTAACTTCCCCATCTGGTTATTTAGTAAACCCAACCGCTTCCCCAAAGTGACCCCCCAGCCACACCCACAGAAGAGAAAAGCCTTTTGAGCTGTGTTTTTGGATATGATCATTAACATACTACTACTAATGCTTGGCCAGGCCTCCCAAGAACCTTCTAGAGCAGGGACGGTCTTCAGAGAAGGCAGCTCCGGCCTGATAACTAGCCAAGGTCACACAGCAGCCACCCTTCCTGTGCCCTTTCTAAAAGGTACTCGTGCAGGTGTGTGGCTGTAATCATGGCAGTCTGTCCATTCTGGACCTCAGGCAGGAGCACTTCCCCATTTCAGAAATGAGAAAACAGGGGCTGTGGCTTCCTTCATCGGAGCCTGTTGTGCAATCTCCCAGCAGGCCCTGGGCCCACCCCGGGGATTCCGGAGCCTCCCAGTCACACCCCGCAATCCAGAAGGCTGGGAGGGGCACTTTAGGGCCTCCGGAAGGTTCCTAGAGGAGACCTTGCTTGGGCTGAGGGCCAAGGCTGAGCTGGAATGAGCCAGGCAGTGGTGGGGACAGGGAGGGGTCAGCAGCAGGGACGCAGGTGGGCGTGGGGGTGGGGGATGGGTGCCAGTCAGGCCAACATGGGCAGTGGGCTGGGCAGACGATGCCGGGTCTGCTTCAGAGGGTCTGTGTTCAGGAAAGGCCAGAGGTGTAACCTTTCCCAGTGCCAGAGGTGCAGGACTCTCTTAATTTGGTATTTCTTTCTTTCTTTTCTTAAACATGGCTCCCATACTGTTTAAGCTTTAGACCCCCCAAAACCTGGACTCCTACTCTTCTGAGGACTGAAAGATGAGAGACCACAGAGGGTGCAGTGGATAGGGCTGCCTCTCCAAAGCTGGACTCATTCAGGCAAGGGGGCGCCCTTGGATTTGGGGTGCAGGGTGTGTAAAGGGTGCTCCTCTTTGGGGTGCTGCTCCCAGCTCTTGGGGAAGCAGGCCTCAGCTGTGCCTGTTGGAGGGGAATGGGGTAGAGGGAGGCTTCCCAGCACCCAAAAAAGGAAGTGGCCAGGGGCCTGGGTGACAGGTGTGGCCGGGAGGCACCGAGGCTCCCTGTGGACAGGGAGTGTCTCAGGCTATCCAGAGGCCACCTTCCCCAGTTCTGGCCTCCAGCCAGCATGCCCTGGACAAGTCCAGCCCCTTCTGTCCCACTTTTCCCAGCCCTCCCCAGGGGCCAGTGTCCGGAATCACGGACTTGGCGGTCTCCTGGTTGGGCTGGCTTTGGGGTCGGGCAGCCCCTCTTCTTGCCAGGCCACTAAGTGCCAGGCGCACAATACTGCAGGGAACAAACCCTCCAGGTGTTCGGGCAGGGGCACGGCCTGCTGAAATCCAGGAAGAGCGCTGCCAGAGGGTAGCTAGGCTGAGGGAACCTGGCGGGCAGCGGGAGCCTGGGTGGGGCGGGGGGGGGGCGCGGGGTTCTCTGAGAGCGAAGTCGTGAGCAGCCCCTCCCTGCTCTAGCACCTCACAGACGTGGGACTCGCCAAACTCTCACAAGGTGTCTAGCAGCAGGTGCTCCTGTTGCAGTTTTCACACGGGGAATCAGAGGCACAGAGAGGCCAAGTAACTGGCCCCAGATCACACAGTGAGGACGTGAAGGGGCAGAATTTGGCCGAACTCCAGGAGTGGGGAATGGCTGGGGGGAGACAAGCAGAGTGGTGTGGGTGGGGTGGCCTTTTCCTGCTCTCACACATTAGGAGGAAGAGGAGCCGCTGGGGTGGGCAGGGGGGCGCCGAGGACCCCGCTGTGCGCTCCGCGTGAAGGGTCAGGCATCATGGGTGCTGGTGCCGGGTGGGGTGGACACCTCGAGTGGACGTGAACGCTGGGTGCTGGAAGAGGCGATGAGACCCGACACCGGGGTGCAGGTGACCCTAGAGCTCCCCGCAAGGCCCCAGTTCACGTCCAGCTGCCGAGGGTCTGGCCGGAGCGTGGACATTGCACCTGCGACAGGTGTGCTCACCAGAGCCAGCTGCTACCTCAGACACTAGGGGCGGAGGCCAGAGGAAGGAAGGTGGAAGGGCAGGCACCCTGGAGGAGGGTGGGGCAAGGAGATCATCACTTCCCAGGTGCATCCAGGCCCAGGAGGCTGAGGGGTCCCGGGCTTCAAGTGTGAAATCCGAGGCTCGAGCCGGGCAGCACAGTGCGGAACGCGCTTCGCTTCGCACCACCGCCTGGCTGTCCTCTTAGTGCCCCCGGACACCTATTTTCAGTGACCACTTTGCTGAGAAGGTGGGACGACGGCCTCGAGGCCAGCAGAGGAGCTGAGTCTCAGCTCCCCTGGCCCAGGCTCAGAGGGCACCCAGTCTAGCCAGCCCTTACTGGGGCTCCTGTGCCCACCCCGTGCCCCTCTGAGGGTGGCCGACAGATGTGTCCCTGTGCCAGGATAAAGGCTTGCTTCCTGACCCCGGGAGACCCTCCCTCCCAAGGACTCAGGCTGCCAGCCCAGGGAGCACCTTAGATGCTCTCTGGCATTTTGAGACAGCTGGCAGTGTTAAGACGTGCAAAGAGCAGATTTATTCCAGAGAGATGCGGGGGAGGAGGTTGAAACTGGGCGAACCCACTGTTCAGGCTGTCAGCCACTGGGAAACCGCGCCCATGGTCCCTGTAGGAGAGACCCCTGCGATCGCGCCAGTCCCACCCACCCCTCCCCATGGGCAAGGCCAGGAGGACCGACTGCCTGTGTCTTCCTGACAACCGGAAAAGGGAGCTTCAGGAGGGAATACTGCCTGCTGAGAGCAGTCTTCACTTACTTATGAATCTGGCCCGTGGGAATTACCAAGTTACCTTTCATAACCGTACACAGAATACTTTGGACTAAAAGAAAATCGTGTCCTGTAGCATGAAGGCACAGAAGGCAGGGCTGGGGTCCAGGGAAGCGGTGGAGTGAGAGACTTCCTCACTGACATGCAATGAAGTGTTTGCTTCTCGTGGGTGTGGGGCAGATGCTCGTGTTTTCTTGCAAGATGCAGGTCTTTTCATTCGGACAAAGATGAAAACTGTTCTATCATCTGAAGGGAAGTATGTCTCTGGAGTAACGTCCTTAGTATCTTAGGGAGGGAAGAGTAAGGGAGGACCACCAGTAGGAGCAGAGGCTCAGAGAGGAGAGAAAGGTTGGACAGCCACTCGGGAGACTCACACTGCCGGGGGATGAGAGGACCACGGTCTGGGTGGTGACAGGGGGCCAGGGCTGGTGGCATGCTGCTGCTCTGCAGGCCTATCTGAGGGCTGGCCGCTCCTTTCATGGACTCTCTGTGAGGGGGACAAAAACTCACGTGGGCAGAAGAGGGGGCAGCCAGGGGAGGGCAGCTGCCCCCCAGACACCGAAACAGCCCCACAAATGAGCAGCCACGCCAAAATCCCTCATGTCAAACTGCTTTATTACATCTTAAATAACAGTACAGTGAATATAGGATCTATCTTGCATCCAGCTTCCTTGCAGTACACTGACTTTAAAATTAAATACAAAAGGTGAGGGACAGGGTGCAGAGAGCTCTACAGGGGTGCCGAAGGGGGTGGGGCCGGGGCGCGGTACAGGGGTGCCGAGGGGGCGGGGGCGGGGTGGGGGGGATGCTTGTCCCACTCTCTGCGGGTCCAGGGCACAGGGCACACAGGATGGTGCAAACACAGGATGGAGAAGCCGCTGCTGCCTCTACGGGAGTGCTTGGTGCGGGGAGGAGGCCTGCGCCGTCCCAACGCCACTGCTCCACACTGGACGCGCACAAAACCAGGGACGTCTGCATGTTAGAAAAATGGTCTGCCTCGGTGCAAAAGGCCGGTTCCACGGGAGAGCCGGGCTGTGAGGAATCCACAAAGGGAGGCCGGGGTCTCCATTCCCTGTACCACCCCGCCCTACCCCCCAATTCCAACAGCAATCATTTGGAACAGGACTTGTTTTTAAAGGAATAAAGAAAACAGTGAGTATCCCGCTAGGTGCGTGTGTAGAGCCGCTGGCTGCACGGCTTCCGATGCGATGCGTGTGCACAGAGGAGCAATGGTTACAGCTTTAAAGAGGTTATTTCTGAAAAGAAAGAGAACATCTAAGGACTGAGTCCTATATGCACTTTTGAGCATTTCTACAGCATGCGATTCTAAGAGTAAACCCACCCGATATGGCAAACGATCAAATTTTTTAAAATTTAACTTAGAAAGTTTGAGATCATTATTTTCAAAACACTGATTTGTACATTGTTTCATACACAAATAACTGACTATCCAAGCACAGGACGGGCACCTCGCTTGAGAACAGAGGCTCCTGACGGTCAGGGTGGGGCACAGGGTAGTGTTGCGCTTTTGCTGTTGTATAAACTTCCCTCCAACTTCACAAGGAGACCCAGGGTGAGATTAAAAACTGAACTGAGAAGGTAGAGAGGGCGGGTTGGGGAGCAAAGGTGCCTAACTGGTGTTCACTCTTCGTCCATGGCGCGTGCTCTGTTCCTTGACTTCTCAGCATCGTCCTTCTATGCCGTGTGTACACACAACGATCATGTGACACGAGACGAAAAGTAAAAAAACTAGGGACTAAATTTACATCATTAACAATTCCAGAGAGGCTGCACTAGACCCTCTTTTCTGTTTAATTACTGAACAGAAAGGAATATATTTTAAGAAGGAAATATGAATGTCTGCAAAATCCTGTTACAAACACAATCTGAAACGTAGAATCAATGACAAGATGAAGTCCTCAACTTGTTTGCCACGAACATCACACAACAGGGTCACTGACCTAGAATTCAAAGAAACTAGTAAAAACGTGTGTCTGCCTCACAATTACACTCAAGTTTACCTTCTGGTTAACATTTTTATTATAGTATTTCCTTTTAAATTCATTCAAGACCAAAAAAAAAAGAAAAACAAAAAAACAAAAAAAAAAGAGAAAGACAATGGTCCCGGAAGGAATGCACGATTTGTTTTAGTTTACAGCACAGAGATCTTCTCTTAGTGGGAATTGTGCTCTTGGTTTCAGCAATAAGTGAAGGGAAAGGTCTTGCCCTTTGGAAGTTCTGAGGGTGCAGGGCGTCCGCGTTAGTAGGGGTGGATTGGAAATGCTAGCACTGTAACGCTCCAAAGTTGGAATGGTCTTCCAGTCACAGCGGCGTCCACCTGCTGCTTTAAACAGAGTTTAGAGAAACATGAAGAGAAACGGACACCCTGGCACAGGCGCACAGTCAGTACGATGGCTGCACCGCTCGCGGCTGAGGGCACAGGAAGTGCTCCAAGCTGGCACCAAGGCTCACCTGCCCACAAGTCCAGATCAACTACATCCAGATTAATCTTGGAAACCCCGACCCACAATTTCATACGTAGAGGTACAAGCAGGGAGGGCACGGGGCTGCTCCTTACCTGTTGGTGTTAGTTCCAGATCTTGAGGAAGCTGTCCCAGGACCCTGTTGCCACGGCCATCCCGTCGTCAGTCACCCCCAGGCAGCTGACGCGGTTGTCATGCCCGGCCAAGACCCCTGGGAGCAGATGACAGCACGGTCACCCCTGGATCCAGCCACTCCCTGAAGCAGACCCAGAAGCCCCCGAGGTTCAGTCCCTGCCAGGCCTCAGTGGTGAGGAAAGGACACCAGGAAGGAGAGGAAGCCTGGTCAGGTGGAAACTGAACTGAAGCTCATGCCCACTCTTGTCCCAGGCGAGGAAGGGTCAGCGTGCTCCTCTCCCACGGCAGACGTGCCCACGGCCGCGGGACAGATTCACACAGAAGGAAAACACACTGGAGAACCTGGCAACGTGTCTGTTATCAAGACACGTGGATAACAGCGTGACAACAAGGAACACACACAACTGAAAGGCACTAACACACACACACTCAACAACCTAGGGCCTTTTGCACCGACTCCTGAGCACTCCTGACGGTAAAATGCTTACATAAAAAATGGAACAGGGGACTTCCCTGGTGGCGCAGTGGTTAAGAATCTGCCTGCCAATGCAGGGGACACGGGTTCGAGCCCTGGTCCGAGAAGATCCCACATGCCACAGACCAGCTAAGTCGGTGCACCACAACTACTGAGCCTGGGCTCTAGAGCCCACGAGCCACAACTACTGAAGCCCGCACGCCTAGAGCCTGTGCTCCACAACAAGAGAAGCCACCACAATGAGAATCCCGCACACTGCAATGAAGAGCAGCCCCTGCTCGCCACAACTAGAGAAAGGCCGTGCACAGCAACGAAGACCCAATGCAGCCAAAATAAATAAGTAAATAAATAAATTTATTTAAAAGAAGCAACAGAAAGCACAACAAAAATACAGCACAACAGTGAAGGCTGTAGGCTGTTCTTCATTTGTTCGTGATGCCCGGGGCCTGGTGCAGAGCACAGAAGGCTGGTGATGGACGCTGAGGGAGGGCCTTTGGGATATCACAGAGTGAACCCCGCCCCCCAAGACAGGGCCTCCTGTCGACACTCAGCAGTCATCAGCCAGAAAGTTCCACATTTTTCCAGAGGAATCCGAGCCACATCTCAGAGCACCCCCATGCGCCTCCTGCACTCCTCTGAGTGTCAGCAGGCCCTGTCGGGGCAGAGGCCGTGGGCGCTGGGGGCACGTGGGGGAGCAGGAGAGGCAAGAGGGGCTCAATGCAGAGCGGGAAGCAGACCCACCCAGAGCGGGAGGCCATGGGCTCGGAGCCACGCTCCCTTCCCCACCCTCTCCAGCGCTGAGGACTCCATGAGCATTGATTCAGGCACCTGAACCCCCGTCTTCAACACTGCAAGTACTCGTCTTTTGCACAACCTGCATGTTAATGCACTCGGGAAGGACGCACCTCTCGCCTGCCTTTCACGTGTGAGCTCCAGTCTGTGCTTCCAACAGGCCCAACGGGAGGGGGGCCGTGAAGACCACGCGGCTGGCCCGTTCCTGCCCACCGTGTGCCGCACAGCGGCCGAGAGCCCGCCGCCACCGGCCTGCCTCCCATCCCCCTGCCGGGCCCGCATGTCTCAGCTCGCGTCTCAGCCGGCGAGGTGCAGCCGCCGCCTACCTGCCCTGTCGGCCTTGAGGGCGTCCCAGACGTTGCAGTTGAAGTCGTCGTAGCCCGCGAGGAGGAGGCGCCCGCTCCTGGAGAAGGACACGGAGGTGATCCCGCAGATGATGTTGTCGTGGGAGTAAGTCACGAGCTCCTGATCCGCACGCAGGTCGAACAGCCTGCAGGTGGCATCGTCCGAGCCAGTGGCAAACGCATTGCCGTTTGGAAAGAACTGGAGAGAGAAAGCGAACCAAGATGATTTGCAAGTGCACAGAAAGAAATACTGTGAACATAAACTGCCCGACAGCAGAGTGACTGCGGGCCCCGCACGGGGGTGGCGCGACGTGCTCGTCCTCCCCAAAGAGCCGGCTTCCCCGCCCCATTCGTCCTCCCAAGGGAGCAGCGGGAGCATGGCCATCACTGACGGGCCGGGCTCCCTGCAGGCCGCTGGCAGCCAGGCTGAACCCGAGGAGGACGGCTCCTCGCAAGACCGGGCCCGCCTGTCAGGGTGCCGGGGACAAGGGCAGGCTCCCTCAACCGCCGCGCCCCCCGCGCCCCCGCAGAGCTGGGCCAATGGGCTCAGCCGCGGCGCTGCCTGCCCCCTGATGGGGGAAGCCGCGTGATACAGTCACTGGTCGCCCCAAGGCCGGGAGATACGCCAGGCCTCAGCAAGGACAGATCAAGTCACAGCTAAGTCTCCCACAGGGAGTTTTTTTCATTTTGACTGTATCTGCATAGAAAAGAGAGACCATCTAATCCTGAAAACATTTTCAAATTTGACGATGCAGCCCGTGGCTCCAGAGGACTCTAACTTGCTAATGGCCGGCAAAGGGCCCCCGACCTGCACCTCGGACCCCAACTCACACAGATGGCATTGATGTCGGACTCGTGGCCGGTGAAGGTCTGCCGGCACATCCCTTCTCGCACGTCCCAGAGTTTGGCTGAAGCATCACAAGCACCAGAGACAAACAGTCTGGTGTCCGGAGCGAGCGAAAGGCTCATGACATCGCCGGTGTGTCCAGTGAACGTGGTTGTCTGCTGGCCGGTCTCAATGTCCCACAGGGCACTGGAGCAGAGCAATGACAGTGGTCACCCCACTTGCTCAGGAGACTAGTCCTGTGACAAACGGTCCTTCAAACCCCCCAGGACTGCAGTAAAGGTCTGCACTTAAGACAAATCTAAAACCTGAAATCCGACTTTGTTTAGAAGGGTTTGTTACAAAGCAAACGAATAAATGCAATAAACAAACACAATACAGATGAGCACACGCCCACGGGCTTTATGGTAACTGTGATTTCTACATCACCTCAAACACCAACAAAAGAGGGAGCCCGAGTCCCTTTCAAGGAGGGCTGCATGCGGCTCCCTGCGTGGGCTCAGCGAGGGGCAGCAGGAAGCTCCCGGCTGCCATCACAGGCTGCACAGAAAACGCGCTCTCTGCTGCTGCCAGCTCCATGCCTTCCAGGGTCCCATGGGCTGGGACGAGGAGATGACGGCCCTTAACTGGGGTCACTCAGCGGCAGCAGAGCTAAGCTCGGACCCACAGCTATCAGCTCGGGGGGGTCCACGGAGGGCAGGCAAAGGTGAGACACAGCAGCGCCGCGAGGACAGCGCCTCACGCGCAGAAGCAACGCCACCGGAAGCTGCTCACTTCCCGTAAGCCTCGCAGAAAACCTGGCTCAGCCCAACCACCCAAATCCAAGCGTGCAGGGCCCCTTGCTAGGGCCTGAGGGATGACAGAAGGAAGCAAGACACTCCCAGGGTCTGAAAAACATCCCTCATGAATGAAAAAGCTTTCAAAAATATTTTCTAATACAGAAATTCTTCCCCAACTGACAGTCCAGATAGATTATAAATCTTTGGTGAACCTATGGATGTACATAAAAAGGACACGTTATGAAACAGGACCCAGCCGGGACACCCCCTGCCCCCTGCGTGGCCCGCTGGCTCCTGACCACCACATGCCTCAAAGGACCAGAATAACCCACAAGGAGAGTTTAAGCCTAAAGTGACTCAACTATCTAAAGATTTAAAAGGATATGCGTTGGTGCTTCGAGTGAAAACATTACAGAGGTTTACGTGGTCTATCCAAAAGTAAGGTGAAACTCTAAAAATTAATTAGCTTGATATAATTCACGTGAAATTGTGACAAGTGACAAGCTTTTTAAAGCTGTGCTCAGAGTCCACAATGAGGCATTGCTCACCTAAGCGAGGGACTAAAGCACACCCACTCCCCCAAGCGCTACTAAAGGCAGCCTGGAAAGGTAAAATACGCAGGTGGGGAAAAGAAAGGCGGGCATTTCATGCAAAAATGTAGTTTCAAAATCAGTTCTTTGCTGTTCAAAATCGAACTCTGAGCTTTCAGATCTGCACAGAGCACCATGAACCCACCCACCACTCACTGCCACCTGTGTCTGAAGCCTCCTGGCCATTTCCAGTTAAAATGGCCTAACTGAGAACTCCCCGGCGTCTTGAGCTACGGGCCAAGGCAAGCAGCATTAAGCCAGGTCTGGCGTGCAAGTACTCACCAGGTGGTGTCTCCAGAGCTGGTAACAATCTGATTGTCATCCAGAAAACGGCAGCAGGACAGGTAACCTGGAAAACAGACCCACACGATGGCCCCAGCCTTCGAGCCCCCGACTCTATGATCTTATAAATGGAAAAACACGTTGGCAGGACAACCGTGGCGGGAAGGTCCACAGCAAGGGGAGACAAACACTTCGCCCCCCACCTCCTGGCCCCTGCCGTGTGTGCTGCGAAGAGGAAGGAAGCAGGCACAGACGACACCCACTGCCGGGCAAGAGTCAGAGCCCGGACAGGCCGGTGCAGCCCCAGGCCCAGAGGACTAGACTCCGGGTGACTCTGGTGCCCCGAGGGGCTCGGGAGGCAAGCGCACCCGTCCGCCCCGGCCCTTTTGGACACGTCGGGAGGAGCAGGGACGGAGGAGGGTCTGCAGGGTCCAGAGCCAGAGGTGAGGATGGGCGTGGGGGTGGGTTTGTTTTCTACGGGACAAGCGCTGCTTTTGTCTTAGTGTAAGTGACCCTGAGAACTTCACGTGCAAGGTAAGCACACCTGCCCCCAGAAGGCCCAGGGGATGGTGGCAGAGCAGCCCCTGCCCCCAGCAGGCCGGGCTCTTGCCAGGGAGAAGCATGCCTGCCAGGTCTTCCCAGGCCACACCAGAGCCACGTGTGATGCTGTGTGAATCAGTAAGATCAAAGACAAAATACAAAGAGGAGGCCCACTGAAGGCTGCTGATGTGGAAAGTATAAGAACATTGGGAAAATAAAGCACTTATCTAACATATTACTGTACTATCTCCCACAGAACAATTTCAAAACAGCAGCTACGCGCCTCGACAAGGACCTGTGGTCAAGTGCTCCCTGGAGGCCACGTCACGTCCACAGGACACCAGGGACCACACGGGCTCTCTTCCCGCTGAGTCTCAGCCTAAGTTCCGCTCCGAAAACAGCACTTACTTCCTGGCACACTCTCACCCTCGCTCAAGCCAGCCTTCCAGGAACCAGCCCTGGGACCCTCACACCCGCCATCACAGCACTAGCCTGTCTGACTTGGGATCCCAACAGACAGGGAGCAGCGTCGTGGAGACCGCAGCACCGCCTGGTCTCACACAGGGCCAGACAGGGGCACTCCTAGGTCAACAGCACAAAGAAACACGACCTCAAAGATGACCTCTGTCCCACCTCGTGCAGGCGGTGGTCCAGCCCCAGGGAGTCCACGAGCTTCCCGCCCCAAGGACCAGAGGCTGCGGCTACAGCCTTGGCTCTCGAGCACTAGCAACCTGCTCTGGCCTCTTCAGGGCCTCGGATGGTCAGCACTTGTCAGCTGGCTGACCCTCAGGAGCCAGGCAGGCTGTGGGAAATGACCAAATCTACAAAACCACACATGGTCCCTGGGGACCACAAATGCTGTGAAGACTCCAAGACACATGCAGACGAAGAGGAGGGGCGGGGCAGCAGCACCCACGGGCCCGGCCTGGTCCTGGGGCGAGGGCGTCTCAGGGACCTAAGAGACTGCGTGTGGAGAGCACTGGGGTGGCTTTGGTGTTCGTTTTCTAACTTCCTGTAGTTTGAGCTTTCAAAATATACACAGTTGACCCCGAACAACATGGGGGCTGGGGGTGCCAGCCTCCTCGAGGCTGAAAATCTGCACAGAACTTGGAGTTGGCCCTTGTGACAGCGGTTCCTCGGTCCCCTTGGGGACGCTGCCCACCCGGGCTCCTGTGTGCTGAATTTGGAGAAAAACCTCAGGTGTAAGTGCACCAGTACAGTTCAAACCTGTGTTGTTCAAGGGTCAACCCTATCCAAATACTACTTTTCATTAGACAAAGTCAGAGCTGCTGGCTCATAACTCACTTTTTTGGTCTCTGTATTTTGTATATCGAGGGAAAAAGACAAGAACCAGGTGGATATTATATTTTTTACAAAAATCTTTTTTCCTCCCAGAAAGAAAAGGTGGGAACCAGCTTTTCTTTTTATATTTATTTATTTGGTTGTGCCGAGTCTCAGTTGCAGCACGCAGGATCTAGTTCCCTGACCAGGGGTCAAACCCAGGCCCCCTGCACTGGGAACACGGAGTCTTAACCACTGGACCAGCAGGGAAGTCCTGGAACCAGCTTTTAAACTAGGTTAACAAACAAGTACTGAGCATCAAGACCCAACAGCCCTGAGACGGGAGCTCACCAACCAGGAGCACCAGACCGTCCAGCCGGTGGGCTCGGCAGCCGACCCCACAAGCTCAGCGTCCCAGGAGGTCAGTGACGCCCCGTGTGCACGGGGACCATCAAGGGGCACCCAGGCTCCGGGGAAGCCTGCGGGGCCATTCTGCCTGGGAGGTGGGCAGTGGCTTCAGAGTAGGCCCGATTCTCAGCGCAGCTGCTAATCTGCAGTGCGTGTTCCCGTGAGCTGGCTCACGAGCCCCAGGCTTCCCAGAGGAATTGGGATCATTCTGGAGAATTATCGGGAGGAACAGAGCTGTCTGCACATTTAAGTTCTCAATGAACGGTGGCAGTTACTGTCTTTGTTTATATAAGGGCGAGCAAATTCCCTGAAGGGGCTGTGTGAGTGTCCTCAGCAGAAGGGTGGCTGGCCCAGTGGCGCTGCTGCCTTACGAAGGCCTCCACAGGGGCAGGGAAAACAGACCCTGACAAAAGTGGGCACCAAGTGTGGAGGTGCCAGGCCTCATGGAGACAAGTGGCAGCAGGACACAGGCGCTCTGGGGACAGCCTGGTGCGGGGACGAGCTGGCAGCAGTCCAGAGGGGAGGAGGCAGGCGCTCAGGTCAAGAACCCGTGGGAGGGAAGGGGGACGGTCTCATGACAGGGTGTCGCTGATGGGAACCTGGGCCAGAGAGGCAGACAAGCTCACCTCCTCATCCAGAGGGCAGCTGAGCCAGACGGCAAAACCAAAGACCAATGTGCACAGACACGTGAGCCGCCACGAGTGCTGCCACAGACCAAACAGTGCAGCCAAGGGAACTCATCCCAAGAATACGGTTACGGCCTGAGAAGTCACTTCTCTGCAAGAACAGTATTTACAGCCACAACACGCGCACCAGTGACAAGCTGGGAACTGCTGCAATGACCGACGACAGGGCCAAATCAGCGCACCTTACAACGGAACCCTCTCCAACTCTGCAGGACAACACTGCAGTTCTGGATGGGATTAGAAGTTAAAAACACAGAAGAAGAAATGTCACGTTCCCAACTTTCTACGGTGAATCACGCTGGCAGTCTTAGCCGAGCCAGCACCTGGGGGAGGCGGGGGCAGCTGGCTGGGCGGGGAGGGAAAGCCGCCGACCCACTCGGAGGTGCACAGGGGAGCGGAGACCGGGAGCAGAGGGTGCGTTCTCTGAGCAGCTCCGTGAAAACGAAAGAGAGACAACGAAGTAACATGAAGGCCTGCAAGTGAGTAAACGCCACCCCAAAGAGACAAACCCAGAAACTGCTGATGCCAAAGGACAAGCACCCAGAAGCAGGCCGGGTGCACCCGTCCACCCGGAGGTTCACGTATCCTCTCATGCTGAATGCAGGCACAGCCAGGACCCGTTGCCAGCCTGGGAGAGGGGGCTCTTGCTGCTGGGGGGCTGAGCCGGCGGCGCAGTCCGTGAGGGCAGGAAGTGAGCAGTGGGATCTGAGTTTCCCAGACTGCGACCACAGAAAGCCTAAAACTGCTGCCACGTTAACTAACTGCCAAAGAACAGGGCTCCGGAGAGCAGCACAGTGTGGCCCGAAGCAGAACTGTGGGACACGTCTTTCCTCTCAGAGCGGGGCCTGCTGGCGCCTGTCAGGAAAGAAGCAACTAACAGGCCAGGGGGCCCGTCTACTGTGCTTTCACGTGCATTCAAGCCCCGGGCAGCATGGACAAATCATCCCTGGAAAACGAAATTGTAGCCACCACAAGGGCTTCTGGCAAGAGTACAAGGCAGTCATGTCACCCCCAGGAAACCTCTGGCTAAATTCTTGACCATGGTAATCTCAGAAAGGGTAAATGTGTCTGCACTGCGATGGGAGGTTTAGGAAAGGAGAATGAGCTTTTAGGGAATTACTAAAATTTCTCAAATATACAATCTAACGCCTTTGTATTATTATTTTCACCAAGAGAGCACTCAGCAAGTTTTATTCTATATGTAATATATTCATAGTAACAGCAATAATGATAAATGTTCCGTCTCAATCGTTGTGAATTCATTCCATTAACCATTTCCAGAGGGCATCCTTTACTCCTTAAGATAGAAACTTAAAAGGCAAAACACCAGAAGACAGAACGCCATCTGATGTTTGCTCTCTCAAGTACTGCTAGCGTTTCCGAAGCCTGGGTGGCCAACTCTAGAGAAGGAAGCTTCTGTTTGTTCCACATGGGCCCTTGTATTTTCTGGAGACAACAGCAGCACAAAACTGACCACCAAGAGCCTCTCTCCTGAAACTGAGCACAGAGGCTTGACTCCCACCCTCACTCCAGCGGACACCATCTGAGGGCTCAGGGAGACTGCTGAGAAGAGCACCAAGGTGGGTTTTCTGCGCAACTGAGTTTCTAAGACTCTACGGCAAAATGTCCCAACCACAGCTTAACAGAGAGCTCTCAACTTAAGGCTCAGGCCAGAGAGAGATGCCTGAGTGATGAGCACTAACGTCATCAGACGGAGGCTTAGAAGGACTGAGACAAGATGCAGCCGCACATCCTCAGATCTGCTGAATCCACTAACCGTTCACACCTTTACCCCCCGACTAAAGTGAGGCTATTTGAATTTACCAAGTTTTAACCTTTATTGATTTGACGCTGAATTATGTATCATGTCTGAAAAAAGTCACAAATACTCTTAAGAGGCCAGACGTTTAAAAAAACACTACCACTCAACTCCCAAAGAAGTAAAATTTCATGATACGTGAAGGAAACAAAATTTCTAAAACATTCTAATACTAGTTTTATTTTTTTGTTTCAGCAAATAAAGTGTTAAAAAGATTTAATTAAAAATGGAAGTCCATACACTGAATCTGATACTAAGGGATCGATCAACAACAGTAAGAATGTGTTTTTCAATGTGCTGTGAGTTCATCAACACTATAAGCGAAGTGCTTTAGGAAGGGTGCTCACTGGACAGAACCCCCAGTTTACAAGGATGGGGCAGGCAGCCGAGGCTGGGTTCCGAGAAGGGGGATTCCCACCCCCAGGAGCAACCTTCCCACAGAAACCACCACAAGCTCTAGACAAACATAAAAACAAAAACCTGAAAGCACTGGAAGAAGCAGACAAACCGAAGGGGAGCCTGCACTTGGAAGAAGAGAAAGGCACTGGGTGAGCTTGTTTTTCAACAAGCTTGTTTGTCTTGTGCCTGAGGGCAGGCCCCCTCTTGCAGCCACACCTCAGATGCAGATCTATGGCCCAACCTTCTTGAGCAGCCAGTAAATAGGGTTCTGGTCAACCACGACTGGAAAGTGAAAGAAGGAAACCTAGAAAGGAGAAAGCCCCAGAAGGCCCTAAAAATCACACACCTACTGCCCCAACACCTGTCCGAACCACACAGGCAAGACAGCTGCTCCCACACGGCTGTGTGGCTGCTCCCGACGGAACCAAATGGCAGGGCTTCAGGGGAACAGAGTCTGCACAAAGCCCAGGACACAAGTCAAAATCACTAGATGTACCAAGAAGCAGGAAAATGTCGCCCATATTCAAGAGAAAAGAGCCACCAAGACCAAACCTCAAGGGATTAGTTGCTAGAACTGGCAGGTAAGAATTTTAAAGCCAGCTCTTGGAACTATGCCCAAGGATCCTAAATATGCTCATAATAAATAGGCAGGAAACGTCAGCAGAAAAATAAGAACTATTTTTTTAAAAAAACAAACGAATTCTAGAATTGAAAACTAGAACATCTGGCATATATGGCTTGCTGGGTCGTCTTAACAACACACTGGAGGTGACAGAAGTCACGTGTGCTGGAGGACAGCTCTGGAGAAGCGGGAGACGGAATAAACAAGAACAGAGCCATAGGAACCTAAGAGACGATGTGAACATGCACCCGCTGGAGTACAGAAGGACAGAGAACAAAGAACAGAAAATGGATTTCTAATATTTCCCAAATTTAGTGAAAGACAAAACTTTACAAATTCGAGGGGCTAAAGCACAATAAACAAAGAAAGTCACTCCAAGGCACATCGCAGACTGTTAAAAAACAAAGAAAAATCTCAAACGTGCCGAAAGAAAATAATACCAAACCCAGAATTAAATATATCAGCAAACACTTCTTCAAGAATGAAGGATAATCAACATTTCCAGATAAATGGAAACAGACAGAACGCACTGCTAGGAGACCTGCACTAACAGTAGGAAACGGCAAAGCAAGTTCATCAGGCTGAAGGGCACCCGAGAAGCTCACGTCTTCAGGACATGAAGGTAAAGATTTGCGTAAAAATGTAAAGGACGATTCAAACGTCTTCAAGTGGCTATAAGGACATTTAAAGGAAAAAATATAACAATATATTGTGGGGCTTGTAACACATGGAGATGCAACACCTACAATAACTTCATAAGGAATGAGGAAGGGCAGAAAATGGGCATCTATGGCCACAAGATGCTTGTATTTCATTTAAATGGATACAATATAACTCTGAGTGCACCATGAAAAGTTAGGAATGTACACTGCAATCCCTACATAACCCTTTTTTGGAGGTAACCAGAAAAGCCAACAGATAAAACTAAAATAGAATTCTAAAAAATCAAGTAACCCAAAAGAAGGCAGCAAAGGAGAGCACACCATAAAGTGAGAGAGCCAAATCCCACTGCACCCACACTGCATGAAACAGAAATGAAGCCCATACTATTCGAAAGGCAGAAACACTCGGAGTGGATAAAAAGAAAGAACCAAGTGTGTGCTGTCTCCAAGGGACTCTGTTTATAAATACAGTTAAGTGGATGAGAAAAAGTACACCATGCAAACAGTCGGACTAAGAAGGCTGGAGCAGCTACATTAACATCAGATAAAGCCGACTTTCCAACACAGAAGGTTCTGAGAAAGAGGGTCACTTCATCAGGAACATACGACAGTCATGAACATGCCTTCTACCAACAGAGCTCAAGATACATGAAGCAAAAATGCCCAGAATGAAAGGAGAAATACAGAAATCCATCCCTGCCTCAGCAACTGACAGAAATAAACTAAAGACAGAGAATATGTGAACAGTGTCAAAGTCCTGCTTTGACGAACACGCTGAGAACCTGTCCCACAGCCTGGACCCCCAGGCGCATGCGGCGTGTCATCCTCTCTGAACATAATGGCATTTGATTAGAAACCAGTAACAAGTTATCCAAAGGGTATTAAAAATATTTCCCACTGAATGATAATACAGCTAAAGCCACGCTTAGAGGGTAATTTATATTTGAAAAAGTAGGAAGATCTAAGTTTCTACTTTAAGAAGATAGAAAGTTAAGAAGGAAGCAACCCCAAAGCAAACAGAAGCCAAAATAACACACCACCCCCAACGCTTAGAGCTGGCTATGTTCAATAGCACTCAGCCTGAAGGGCTCTGTTCTGCTTCCTGTGCAACAAGAATGCCAGTCATTATGAAGGATGCTAAGAGATCAGTAAGGGTGTCTCGATATGTGGATAAGTACGTGTGTGTGCGCACAGGGAGACACGTGCACGCTCGCGCATGTCTAGATTAGGAACCCTTCTGGAAAGGCGCTCAGGATGGAAGGAGGTTCAGAAGGAGGTAACGCCTCGAACTGCGTCCAGCTGCTGCGGAGCGACCTACATTCCCAAGATCCTTGACAACGGCCACTACAGCGACTTATATCCAAAGGCTTCTTACTGGTAAAGGAATATCAAGGCCTGTGTTTGATTTCATTTTCAGAGTATATCTGGCCATTGATGTAGCCAATCTCATTAAATAATTGTTGAGAAGGGGTGAGTGTCCATAGCACGTAACTCATGCAAGGCACATAGCGTATAATCTTTGAGGTTACTGACGAGAACATGTACCTGTATGTCCAGCCAGTTCACGACTCACACGTACATTCCCTTCACGAGTTTTCAGATTGTAAATGGAGCAAATGTTATCCAGGCCACCGCAGGCCACATAGTTGCCAGAAGGGGCATATGCACATGTCATGACCCACGAGGAACGCAGAGGAATGGCATGAACCTAAATGACAGGACACACATGATGCAAGCATGCTCAAGGTCAAAAACATTAACTACTGACATTTATGATCCTACTTCTAGTCTTCAACTTTCATTGCACAGCAAAACAGTGGCCAAAATTATTTTGAAAATATTTTACATGTGTGGGCAGTCAGATAAAGTAATAATTTAATTAGAAATCCTGTGCTGCACACCAATTTAATGTAGGGTTTTTTTTTGTTTTTTGTTTTTTTTTTTTTTTGCGGTACGCGGGCCT